GACAAGTTTTGGGGAAAACATTTCTCGATCCGTGTATAATTGCGACCCACGTTACAAGCAATAATTTTCAGTGTGATTCACCCGCGACGGTACGTACGCACCGATAGATCTATGGGATGTCCGTATTGATCGAACCACACCCGTATTTCCTACACCCTCTACCTCGCTTCCACCCTTTCTCCTTTCCACCTCCTCCCGGCACGCACGCGGATGTCAACGTAAATGCGTGCGCACAGAAATCGACGTGATCGTTCGTATAGCCGAAAAGTTATGCATTGATTTATTCTTAATTTAATTATGCCGAGTGAATCTGAGAACATAAAAAAGAATTTATTAAAGCAAGGCATAGCATTGCTACTCGGGGAAAATAATCTCAGGATTTCTTGGACGTTATCGTCATGATTGCCAAGATTGCCGACGATAACCGTATATGAAAGCGCGTCCACTTCAGACCTGGACTTGACGTCGACATCTGCAGCAGGCACTTATGCACCTTGCGATTATTCCGCGAGTGACATTATATCGTAATGCCGCTGAGATGGAGCTAAATCGCAAAAAAAAAAGATTCGAAGAATTCAGGATCTTATCAACGGAAGAGTCGAAGCTTCTGAAGATTCGAATTCTATTAGATAAGAATTCGAGACTTCAACAATCCGCGAATTCAAAAGGATTCCAAGGTGTATCCGGATAAACTTGCGAAGCTCCACAACCACGAATATATACGGAAGATTCAATCGAATTTTAGGTGTGCCCTTCTGATAGAAATTCGATTGCATAATTTCTTAATGCACATGGTTCTTCGTGCTGCGCTACGCATTACTATACGCAAGTTTATCTGAATAGAAGCATTCAATGGCCGAGCTGAAGATTTATAGAAGTCCGAGGATCCTCAAGAGATCTAAAAACTTGCAATCCCCGTGGCAATTAAAAGCCGCGAATAATTCTTTCTTACGCCTTACGTTGATGCAGTTGATACATGGTTGATGCAGTGATAACAGGTCCGCATTGTGTCGTCTATGCACAAACAGTGCGTGAATAATCGGCGATATCGCGTGTGGGTAGACACACGTACGCGTGCACAGATGCACGCACGTAAAATTCTCGACGTATTTGGAATTTATACGGGCGAAAGCCCGCGCGATCGCGTTTTCGTGGAAGCGCTTGCTCGATGAAAGGCGTCATTGTATCTGTCTCGTCGAGTTTATCATGCTAATGAGGTCTTAATATCGCGTTATGGGAAACTTTGAACGGATACCATTCAGCGGACGGTAATACACCACCGCGATCCGCGTGTGTGCCTCTCTCTCCTTTTCTCCCTCGCTCTTTCTCTCTCTCTCTCTCTCTCTCTCTCTCTCTCTCTCTCTCTCTCCCCGTGCTTTAAGGCGTTTCCAACACTCGTCTTTCATCGCGAGCACGCCTTTTTTTCCCCGTCGCTTCCAATTTCTTATGGGAACGCCTTGAAGAGAAAGAGAGAGATAGAAGGCCAGAACTCGTGGAATGTAAAAAGAGATTACAGAATACCGGGTGAACTCTGCTCCGAAATGTGACATAAATGTTTATATACATCCTTCCTTCGTTAGAAAAAGAAACTACGGTGCGAAACGAGAATGCATTATTGGGTTCTCGGGACCACTTGAGTTTAAACTTCTGGAACAGTATCCGTACAAACTCGGCGTGCCAGCTCGCTTTCTTTCGTCGTCGAGGACTATCTATTATACATGAAATAAGGTGGTTCATTGGACTTTATGCTGTCTCACTGTAGACACGACCGGAAGGACTGTTTTATTCAGGAGTAATCGCCCATTTCCTTCGGCGAATAGATTCAGCATGAGTAATCAAGAACGAGATACGTATAGAATACGGAAAACTACTCGCGAGTACAATCGCTCGTAATAAAAAATTCAATGTTGAAGAAAGACGAATACGAGATCAGTCTTCCGTGGAAGTTCCAATTTTAATTTCGAAAATTTTTATAATTATTATTTTGGAACACAATTAACTTTCCGTCAAAAGTTTCTCGCCGTTAAATTCCCAAGAAATTTATTTAGGTACCTTCGTTGAATAATATTTTTATCAGGAATTTATAACAATATAAAAACTCCTTTTCTCCTTTTCTCTCTTATGATAAAATAAAAAAGAGTTCCTCAAAATAATGTTATCAAAAAAAAAAAAAATATCGATCTAAATGTCCCAGTAACGACACGCACTTTTAATACCGCTTCCACTTTCGAACGCGACGTCTTAAATTCGACATTTCCTGCGACGAATAACCCTTTCACTACAAAGGGCGCGTGTACGCCCAAATGGAGTTCACGCTCACATGCGAAGCGCGTGAACGCACACACGACTAAAATGGAAGAATGCCTCGGGCTGTAACGGCAAAGATGAATAAAAAAAAGCAACAGAGCGATTACGTTCCATCGTAAACATTGTTCACATAATTAAATCACGTAACAAAAGCGCCCGTATATACATAAATCCCCCCCCCCTCCCCCGTCTTTCCTTCTATGTCGTATGAATTTATACTTCTTGGAGTGGAGAATATCTTTGACAGGATTAGTGTTTCTATACGAAAAGAAGAGGCGCTTGGGTTTCTTCAAAAGACGGTCACGTGGCGTAAAAAAAGAATATTGTTATTTATACTCCGATTCTGTAACCTTAACGATAATATCGCTATCGTTATACTGATTACATTTAACAGCAAAACACAAAATAGAAAACAAATTTTGCAACTGTTGTAAAATTCTCTAATATAATTCTTCGCGATAAATTATTAACAAATTTTTAAGGTGCTAATAGCTTCATTATTAAAATTGACAGCCCCAATCTAAATTGAGATATTAATTTCAGGTTCAGTTTGCGATTGCATTTCAAGTTCGACAAACAAGCATTTAAAATTGAAATAATATATTTGCAAAAATGTGTGCATTTAACATTATCGAGCACTAAAAGATCCACTTTGCCCGAAAATAGGATTATTTCCATTAATTCAATTAACACGATTGGTTTGCGCATTTAGATCTACCGTGAAACTCTAAGAACAAGTTGAATCGATTATTAATAAATTTTTGCAAAGCTGCTTTTTCCGCTGAGCGCAGCCATTGTCGCTGCGCAGCTTTTGTACCACACATATAATTCCTGCGCAACGATAAACGGTATTGGCGCGCCGTCGTTAAAAGTTGCAGAATCGTAGTGTGCCGTCCCGGGATTTTATCGAAACGACAAACTGAGAGAGCGGTACTTTATTTAGCCGTCCGTCCCGTCGACGCGCGACGACGGGGGTGCTCGTGGCTTAACGAACGCGTCTGCAGCGGGGCAGACAAATTTATTCGCCGGCATTGGCAGCGTGATATCTTTCTATGGGGGCTATTTTCTCATCAATCCCAATAGCTTTTATAAAACGTGACTCACGCGTGAAAAGGTCCGCGCGCAGCCTTTGGCGAATCCGATGTTCGCCATCTCCCCCGTGCACCATCATCATCGCGACTGTCCCTGGCCGCGAGAGATAAAGCCGCCTCTCTTTTAGGATATGATATACACACACACAGGTTGTTACACATACATCTCTCTCCTTTTTATAATTGAAAAATCAAGATGGCATCCTATCTCGCACGTAACGTAATAAATAGCCGATCCGTCGCGTGATTCATGAATTCCCGCGGCAACGCCCGCGTTTTGGAAATTGATTAATCGACCATCGATGATCGTGCACCGCGATCGACAGTCGCGGTGCGTGGCGAATGGGATGTTCGAGAGACGAAGTGCATCGAGAAATTCTGACGTAAGGAATGCAACACTTCGGGCCGTTAACAAATCGTTATTCGGGACGTGTTTTTATCACGCCCCCTGCGCTTTGTATCGTCGTTAAACGGGGCATCAAGTGTCAGTGTATCAAGCGTACTTTTCGACTATTCAGCGTGATCCTCTCGAGCGATCAATGCCCGGGGCCATTGATATTACACACTCGGAGAGGAAAAAAGAAAGACGGATGAAACAGTTTAGGGTTAATAAAAATTTCATGCACGATATAGTTTCGCTTCTAATGAGGCGTGGATTGCCGAGCTTCAACATTTACGTTTCTCAATTCCACTCCGTTTAGACGATTAGGATCGTAAATTCGCTGGTTACTACGACCCGCATATCGCAGAGTGGTATAATGTGTATTTATATAATAATCACCAGAGTTTCCGTAATTTATCGTGGGAAAGTTGGGAGCGCGAGAGGTCGAGAACAGTCTGGAAAATGTCTATCAACAAAATAAAAGGAAAGTTATTTTCTTTCTATATACCGATCCCTCGTCCTTCGCGCGTCTTCGCGCTGCGGCGAACGAGTGCAGCAAAACGCACCACGAAGGGCATATCCCAAAGTCGAAGCCGTGTGCCGCACCCTGCCGCGTATTTTCGTGACAAAGGTCTCCGACGAAAGTCCATATGGGCGCCGCTTATTTCGTTCCGAACGCGCGTGTGACCTTCCGATCTCCGAATCTCATACTCGTCGAGAACGGGAGATCGAACGAAAACAAAACGGGAGACGAAAATTCGCCGTTATCGATTTACCCGCGATTCTGACAGTAGGCGATTTGAAAATTCGGACAGTCTTCTCGTCGAAAGAGGATTGTCGGATCCAACTGGGATCGACGATCGACGAGATTATCTCAGAAAAGGTTTCAGGCATCGAAAATGTGATGACGTATACGTAGACAATGGCTCGCTCGTTCGTATAGACAGACCGGTCGAACTGCGCGAGTTCGAGACGCTCCAGCGGTTTAATAGGGAAAATATGGCTTCTATCGGCGTTCCATCTAACGGCTCGGTGCAGCGCGCTGAACGATGCGTATAGGGAATATAGACCAAGAGTCTCTCGCTGGCGCGCGAACACTCGGAGAGCAGAGAAAGGGCGCGGAAGGGCGACCGCGAGATTGGCGAGAGAGAGAGAGATAGAGAGAGAGAAACGGGGGGAAAGGGGGGGAGGGAGAGAGAGAAAGAGCGAAGCGAACTCACCAGGCTTTGACGCGTATAAGGACCTCTCCCTCGCCGAGGGCAGGCTCCGGCTTCTTCAGGGCTTTGACACTCTTCAGGCCGCCGAAACCGTTGAGCACGATCGCCCGCATATCCTTCGGCTCCGGCGTGGCCTTCTCCTCGCCGTTCTCCTTCGGCTTCTCGCCTTCGCCATTCTCCTCGACCTTCTTCTCGTCCTCCTTGCGCTCCTTCGTCGGCGGCTCTTCCTTGGCCGGCGGCGACGACGCCGCCGTTTCCTGCGGCGGCTTCTCGCCCTCGGCGCTCGGACTAGTCTCGTTCTTGTCCTCTGCCATCTTTATGTCTTCTTCCTCTTAAACGCCCTGAAACTCTGAAGCTCACGCGACGTCCTTTACCGCGAGACTGAGGATCTCCGGCGGTCGGCGGCGGGGATACGTCAAGAAAGGGAGCGTGCGTCGTACCGTCCGTGATCGCGAGCGACAGACGGCGAGAGAGAGAGAGAGAGACACAGATTGGAACGGAGGAGAGAAGGAGAAGGATGGAGAGAGAAAGAGACAGAGGAAGAGAGAGAGAGAGAGAAAGAGAAAGGAGGGAGAGAAAGCGCGCCCGTCCGTGTGAGTGGTCCGCTCCGCTTCGCACGGTATATCGTTTACAATCCGCCGCGTACGCGCTCCATGAAAGCCACCGTCGTTCTGGACGAAATTCTGCGCCACTATATAAAAGCCTCTTTCTCCCTCTCTCTCTCTCTCTCTCTCTCCGTTCGTAGTGCCGGCTACGCCGGCCGGTAATGCGCGCGGTGTTGCCGTTGCTTAGCAACCGGGCGCCCCTGCCGAACGGCCAATCGCGCGTCGCCGATCGCAAAGTCCTCGCCGTCATTTGCTTATGTTCGTTCGAAGCGTGCCGGATGCGCGCGCAGCCCGGCAGGTGCCGCGCCACACCGCGTCGCGTCGCGTCATGTCGCGCCGCGCGCGCGTTGCGGTATCTCTGCTTCGCCGCGGCGAAATAGTTCCCATTGCATATCGCATCTCTTCTTCTCCGCTCGCGCTCCATCCCCTCTGATAGCAGTGTGGTTATAACCTAAAAATTTTTGAAAATACTCGACTCCGGGTGGCAGCTTCAAGCTGGCCGATCGATCCCGTAATGGATGCTACGCGCTCTTTGTAATTACAAATCGTGCGGAGCGATATCGCGAAGCGCTGTCTGTCTAACTGATCTTTATGACGCGACCGTGTAATTGCTTCTATGAATAATCGAAGGAAAGGGGAGAACGAGGAGCATATATACATATATATATATTTTTATGGGGTTCCATCGCGGTCATCCCCTCGATGAAAAAAATTGCGAATCACCGAGAGACTTCACCGCGAGTATGCAAAAATATACCTGTTCGATATTCTTTTATCATAGAACGTTTTTCGGCAATTAAAGACAAACGACACACTGAATAATTTTCATTTACATTCTTATTTAACGATGTTAAACAAATGAAAGAAGTCATTAGTGTCCTTGTAGCATTATTTTATATACTATGTAGGCATATAAAAAATTTTTAAGCGATGAATAAATTGGCCAATTACAATAGAGACCATAACATAAACAGTGACAAATCCAACGTAAAATCAACATTTTCTTTCTTCTTACGTCTTCTTTCAATCTTTCCGTGTGATACGGCCCTTTATGTCGGAGCATGCGATAGACCTTTACATAATGCATACAGCACAAGAAAATTAATTAATCATATAGTCTTTTATATGGAAAAAGAAAGAAAATTAAGAACTTTGATTTGTTCATTTTTATGCATTGTCTGTGTTATTAATATTCAAGACTACATTTCTGTTTTTATATCTGTGTGTCATTTCTTGGTAGGGACGGAGACTTCTGGACTTTTCTGGGTGTGGAGTTCTTCAAACGAGGGGGAGAGGGATTTCAAATAACAAATATTTTATCTTTATTGTATATATATGCACGAAATGTATTTCTACAAGGAAGAAAAGATTGGCTAAATATGACATAGCATTTTTAATTGGCTGCTGCATTTAATTAAAAATGCTAATTTTACTATCTAAATTTGCTGTAGCTGCCAATCTTTTCTTTCAGAACAATGTACATGTAACATCCTAGTCAAATATCGTTCTTTGTAACATTCCAAAATAACAATTTTAGATCCCTTTCTTTTTCTCTCGAAAATAATATCGTTCTTTGTAAAATCACTCAATATTTTTGAAAAAATCAGTCAAAAATACATTTTATTAAATATGATAGGCGTGAGATTTAACATCTGCAGGAGCTTTGGGTGTGGAATGCTCCACACTCTGTCCGTAACGAAGTCTCTCTGTCTACGATTTCTTACTGGAAAACACCCATAGACTGCGATCTATATTACACTTTTTGGGTGTGACGCAGTAAGCGTTGGAAACAACATTGTATGTAGTCTCTGAATTCCCTAATTCTTACCTTCGCTAGAGATATTTTGGAGATATTCGAAAATGTTACTTTTCAAACAAAACAAGTCACGATAACGTCCAAACGATATTAATAAAATAAAATCGTAACTAATTTAAAAAGTGATTCCTTATATGCCTGTTCCTATCAATGCAATTTAATTTGAATATCTCTTTTTAATTTTTCTATTTCTAAGAATTCGAAGAAGATGAAAGGTAAGAGTTGAGCCGAGATTAAAGTTAATCCATTTACATTAGTAATCATTTGAAGCCATTTTGACATTTCGATATGCTACAATGACTTGTGTTCTACTTGGATTCGAACTGAATAAACGGTATTGAAATCGATAAATATTCAGCACATTCTTGCTATCGCAGAATAATATGGGGACTATTCATCACGCGATTTTATCTGGAATTTCTGGAGGATTGAAAGCCGGCGATAAAACAATAGCGACGTTCAGAATCTTGGGGAAACACACACGCCTTTATCGTGTATGAATCATTACCTCAGATTCGTCAAAGAAGAACTTTCTCTCATCTTCGCCGATAAATTCGTGCGTCATTGTGAAAATTTATTTAGGACATTAGTATTACAGAAACGCACTCCATGAGAAACATTGCCATGGCATAATTATTATCATACATTACATGTACATAAAAACCTCAATATGTTACCTATGTTTTATACGAAAACCGTTACTCGATCTGCTATTAAAGTGACTCGATGAGTTTTTGCCTATTAAGTAATTAAACTGTCGTACAGACCAGCTGCATTCTGTCTTCAATGTGTATTAATAAGCAATCATGCAGGCGACTTAACATTTTTATCTTTCATACACATTAATTGTTTGATCACCTACGGATTTTATGTGTGGTGTGTGTGCGATAAATTTTATATATTATTTTCATTAAGTTTTATCACTTAATCATTTTATATTATAATATTATTATGAAATTTATGTCGAATGATTTTTAAATATTCTTTAGCACAATTATTATTATACAACCGAAATACCTCGCATTAATTAATTTCATCTATTAATTTAATGGGTCCATCAATCCATCAATTAATAATATTCTATCGATTAAATGCCGATAAAAACTGCGATAGCGAACAACAATTGAAGGCTTGGCGGTGCATTATTTTGATTAGGATTCCACTCTAGTGTGAGATTAATTTAACTTAATTTAACCTTCGTTCGTACTCATACTCATCGTCTTCTTCTAATTTTTAAAACCAGAAAACACGATGGAAAGTAAATTGATCTGAGACTGAAGTTAATCTATGATATATATCGATAGGACATTAGGCGAGCGAACTTATATCCTGCAGCGCGAATGAACAAAAAACGTCGGGGAATAAAAAAGTTCCAATACGTCGATCGAAACGCAGGGAAGGGAAGACGTTTTCTGTATAGTAAAAATTTCATTTCGTGCGACCGTCGCACGATCGTCTACGAGTTCTCGCCGCGTCTACATTCGTACAGCGATCCCTCGGCCCTGAAAATTCGCTCATCCTTTGCTCCTCGCATCTCCTCTAACGACGGAACGTGTGGCAGTCGCCGAAAAGTAGTGCCCAGCAGACGACGCCCGAAACGCGCATGTATTCCTACGCCACGCACATGTGCATGTGCTTCCCAAGTAACACGCACGCACGCACGTGCACGCGCGCGCGCGCGAGGATGCATGCGTGCGCATCCTCCGTCCATCCGTTCGTCCGCGCGTCCAACCGTTTCAGCGAGAAACACGCCTCGCCAAAATGCGAACTTCTGCCGCATATCTCCTCCTCTCTTTCGACCGTCAGACGCAGCTGATATGTACCGTGAATCGGCATCGCTCTCCGGGAAATCGACTGCGTTTCACACACGATCATCTTTAACACGTATCGCTCGCAAACGAGATTCGCGTGCCCACGAAATAAATCGGTAGTCGTTCCCGTTGCGGTTTGGCAACATCGTGATCGCACGCTACACGCTGTTGTTCACGATAGCGTAACGCGATTTTCGTCGACGAGCATTATCGCACGCTTTTGTTGGAACGATCTTTTTCGACGCGCGAATATCGCGCTGACGAAAACGACAGTCATCGCACATCTACAGGCATACTTTTGCACAATACGTGCATTTCGATGCCGATTGCGTGACTGTAATAATTGATATACGATGCATGATTAGGATCATTCGACGCGGTCCGCGTGTTACAATCGTCACGCGTTTATCGCGCGACAATGAACATCGCGATCTGCGGCGAGCCGTGCGGTTGAATTCGCGAAACAATTGGACTGGGTAATGAGAATCATGCGCGAGTGCAATGAGAGGATGTGCTGATTGGGATGAATGGCTTATATTGTCGGGAGGGTAAAAAGTGTCCGGAGCTTTTCTGTCGAGAACGACTCGCGAATCTATACAAAAAAATGTCTCCTTTTCCGAAACGTTTATACGTGCATTATTTTCTCGCATATAACAATATAATACGGCAACAATTGACAATTGTCATTATCAAGAAACCAACGATCGTATGAAACGAAAGAAAAAACGATTTTATTAAATATATCTAAAAATTCAGATAGATAAGTAATTTCTAAAAAAGTAATTTCGTCGGACCATTAAAATAATTATTATGTAGGAAACTGAAGCATATAATAAGCAATGCTGCAAAAAGTTTTGATCGTATAGCAACCAGTTCGAGTAGCTTACACAATTATTTGATAGTCTAATGAAATTAGTTTCATATAGTATATCTACATTGATAAGATAAACTAATTTTTTTATAAATTATCTGTTTTTGAATTACAGTACCAATATTTATACTGTCAAGATATATTTATTCGGTATACAAAAAAGAACTATTAATTTGATTTAATCATCTTTTATTAAATGTTTAGTTGGCTCTATTCAAAGAAATATTTATTACAATCTGGTATTCGTTTTCTCAGTGTAGTTAAATTCTTTACGTGCTTTAGTGAAAATGTTTATTCTGCAAAAATAACAATTTCAGCTGACGCGACGTTTAGTTGAAATATTATTTAATAATTGATGTATTGTTATCATTATAAATTGTTATCATAAATATTGTTTGTAACGATCACAGACGACTACTATATACTACTATGGCTCACATTTTTTCCAAATACGTCGTATAGTTCCCTTCGCCATACGTTCTACATAATTCCTATTGTACCGTAGGGTGTCTCCTATAATTTTCTCAAAATTAGCGTGAAGCCGCTGTCGGAGGAGCGTTAACGGAATCATCGACGTTAATTGATCTTACAGCAAACTCACGACGACGTGGCGGCCTCGCGACTCGCGAGACAATGCCAGTGACGTGCCTGGTATTGTCGAGCCATACCGGGAGAGTGCTGTGTAATTATTAATCATGCAAAAGTGCGGGGTGCATACGTCTTGTCGATACGAGCTACGCATTACGCGCGGTCGCCAATTTAAGCGACAGTTCGCTCGCTCGGCAGCGTGTTTGCGTCAATATGATGCGTTATCCTGCGTCAATCTTGGGACTGATAAAATTTTGTTTCCGCGCAGGGACGGCTTCTGTGACGATTTGATAAACAAGACGCGCGCGGCGAGCGATTATTACGTCCACGCTATTTTTCGTCGATCTTTCTGAGAATCGTTTCAACAGAAGACGTATTTTTTTTTCTTCTATAGCGATTCTTTCGTCAAATATATGCTGAAAATACGAGAAACATCGAAAGACTGTGTGTCGTTTCCTTCTCGCTTGACCTTATCAGTAGCTGCATTCTGAAATTCTCAACAATCGGTTGTTATCGTTACATTATCATTGCGCAACCTTTTTTTTACCATAAACGTAAAAGATTAATATTTCATTTGCCGACGAATTCTTTAAGCGTATGTTGATTGGCTGTAAAGTAGAGAATTTCAAAATTCTTAAGGATGTTTAGTGTCTACTTTCAAAATATTCGACAAAAATTTTACAAAAATTGTTCCATTATTACGTCTGAGTATCTATACATTCCAGCTGCAGGACACACAGAAAAGTTTTCGAATTTTTGTTCTGCAGCCAATCAAAAGTTTGTCGTACGAAATATTGGACGCGCAAGGACAACATATCTGCACTGTACCAACATTGTCATTAAAAGTTACAGAATACAGACACGCAGGATTTCGCATTATTTGTATATTGACTATGTTTTTCTCCGAGCAAGTTTGGCTATACGACTGCGAAATATACGCCGAGTCCGTGTTTGGAACTTGTAATACGCGGCTCGGGTTTGAAACTCGAGCACGCGGCGAACAATTAAGTTGGTCAGCATTTGCGACGAGTAATGGACGCGCAATTATAATAGGCGCGATAAGCAAGCCGAGGTCTAATTCGACGACGGCGGCTATGCATCGTTCCGCGCTCGCGCGCTATCACTCGCAACAGCGTGGGCCTTTTATTTCGACTTTAAACGTTTTAAACAATAACACGCCGCGCGATTACCGGCGCGATAAGACTTCGCGTCAAATCGCCGCGCGTTATCGGCTGCGTTTTCTTTTTTTATCCTGCATCGATATATAGACGTAGAGACGTGACCCTTGCACCGATGGTGCTTCCTCTCGCGTCATCCGACAATGACGATTTTCAAATAAGGAAATGTCATCAGTGCGCACTGACGTCTCCGCGCCGTGCGAGTCTCCGGAAGATTTTGCTCGAGGGATGAATCGTATGGAAGGAAATATCGTAGCGGCGCGGTTCCCACATTGCACTCTCGCTGTTGGAGTCGCAAGCTCGACGGCAGGTCACGTCATTCGCCAACGTTCCAGATTCGAGAATCGCGGTGCATCCGGTCCGATTCACACTGCCTTTAACCGTGCCGGATACATGGCGGAGTTCCGCCGGTATCCTATCGACTTCGGATCGACAGTTTTGCGACAGTTGGCGAATGTTCTTTTTTTCCGTTTAACTTTTCTCTACCCTCTCCACCCTCTTTTACTCCTTCGTCTTTCCTTTTTCTAATCTTTATCGGTGGCATGGTGTAAATATATCCATGGTTCTTACCATGCTTTATCGTATATTTTTCAAAATGTATAAGTATAAAAAGAGCGATCGATTCACCGCACTTTTTCCAGAACGTAGCTCCACCTCTTACGTAAACGGTGGAATGAAACTACATGACGACAGGAAGCTCAGTTAGCGTTTCGGCTCGGTAACTTTGAACTCTTCCTTTCGCCAACATATTTACGTATCCTTCACATTGAAACAAGTAACGTGCGCCGAGTAACGGCGTTTATAATGATACATATGATTGACAAAGGCACAGAAATATACATACATATATACATATATTGTATATATATTCAGTTAGTCAAATTTATCGAAAATAAATTGTGTAAAATGACTATTGAGGCATTCTCTAATGTCAAATCGCGCACCTTTAAAACATTGTAATCTTTTTTAAATTTGCTGACATATTTTAAAAATAAAAATGAAACATGTGTTTTATAAAAAAAATTTGAGATTTTTTTTGTGAAGTTATTCATGATTGTAAATTGCAGAAATTTATAAAAAAAAGCATCGCTCATGCAAACATTCATATTATTATACTGTCGAAACTATTAGTATATAAAAAAATGTAACAAATCGATTTTAAAGATCTTAAATTGTTTTATCAGTTGGTTATTTTTAGAATTTATCATTTTCATATAAATAATTTTCCAATTTTTATTAACATTTTTTATCATCAATTCCTCAATTAAAAAATCTTTTTGCGTGTAAATACATACCGTATACTACACAACAGAATTTTTTAACTGTATAAACAGTCCATTCTAGTTCTATTTAAAAGTTTTCGAGATTTATACTTTATAATTGAAGTGGGAAATATGATGACATTTTTATAAAATTTTTTAATTAATGAATAGATGACGAAAAATGTTAATAAAAATTCTGAGCAAATGAAAAATGTTTTATTTATATGGAAATTACAAATAACCCATTCATAGAGAGTAATTTAAGATCTTTAAAATCGACTTTTTGTATTTCTTTTTAACCTTTTTGTACGACTAATAGTTTCTCGACGGTATAATAGCTTTAATGTTCGCATGATGATGCTTTTTTTATAAATTTCTGCAACTCATTAGCATGGATAATCACAAAAAAATCTTAAATTTTTTTTGCGTAAAACGTGTCTTATACGTGTCTCATTTATCTGTAAGCAAATTTGCAAAAAAATTAAAAATTACGATATTTCGAAGCTTGGTTTGACGTGAAATGTCTCTATTGCAAATTTTGTCAACAGAATGTCAATGAAAATATGACAGAGTAATAATTAGATACTTATGAATGTATCATAAAATTAATAAATGTTAACAAAAGAAAGAAGTAAATTAGCAAATTAAATATGTGATTTATATTTATACTGTATAGTAACTAATCTTAATATAAACAAAACAAGTCTAATAGTCCCGGATTAAAAATTTCAACTCTAATTTGACCTTCACCTTAAAAACAAAATCTTGACTACGCACATGTTACAAAAAATTATTACAAAAAATGGAATCTGTTAACAGAATATGATGGTAAATTGACTATGGAAACCGAAACAGAATCTGTACATTTAAATTACGGATGATAGATACACATTATTCCATTCGGGTTCTCTCTGTTATCAAATTATGCTAGTTGAACACGAGCGCAATGCAGACACAGATGATGCCAATTTTCCGTAATATTCTCCTATAGAATCCGTTAGAAAACCGTTAGCATATCGCTATAATACTTATATATATTTCGCTCTGGATATAACAATAGTTGGAGTAGTTCTCATTATCTAAGCTACTGATCGGTAACTTTCCATTTCTGTGTCCTATAAATTGTGTCCAACAAAAAAACCTGCTATATAAAAAGAACGTATTAGAATAGTAGACGACGATCCTCAAGAGTGTATACCAGCGTTCGAATCGTTTCCAAGGAAGAGCAGCATTCGTTTTCCCGCGTCAAATATCAGGCAAAATAATTAACTCAGTTCGACCTGTTTTCTGACCATCGTCGTCGGTCAGGTGACCTCGATAGGATCTCGGGAACAAGAGATAGAAGAGATTCGCGGCGGACACGCTCCAGAAATCATCGGGCTGCGCGCGCGCGCACGCGTTTTGATATCAGCTGATTCCTCCCCACTCCGCGGCCGCGCCGCGCCGTCGCCCATCGTGCCGCGCTTTTACGCTTTTAGTCCATGAGGGGCATGAGGCCGCGCGTTCGCCCGAGCTGTTCATTCAGTTCGAGACACTTCTGCTAGATAATAGTATCGCGCGCGTTACAGGCGTTGCAGCACACGCGATCGAGTTTTTCCGCGTTTACCGACAACAAAAAGAGGCCCCGGTAGCGACGACAGAGCGGCAAGGAGGAGCCCGCCGTCGTCGTCATCTCGCCCTCATGGCAGACCATGAAGTCGTCCAAGCGAAAAGGTAAGGATTCGATCATTTGCGCGGTATCGGAAGACTGTCATAATTCGTCGATCACGTCGCGACTATATGAACCGCGATTATCACGAGACGCGATATTACGTCATTTGGCGCAAAGCGAGAGGGATGACAACAAATCGTCGCGCGAAGGAAGAACGGACTATGTATATCAACAAAGCGTGTAGATGATCGAATTGTGTTACAACGATTGCGACCGTTTTAAAGCTTTAGCTTTGTTAAGGCGCCTCAAGGCCGTTTCTTGGCTTGATCTTTTCCGGTACACATGGCGAATGCGCGAGCGAGAGCGTAATAATTGGTCTGTGATATAATGACTATTAATACCCCATCCGCAACATGTATACCTGTTCCGATGATGTGCAAAAGCATGACTTTACATAAATTGCTAATTAACGCCGATTCATCTTAATTTCGTTGATACGTAGATAATTTAAGAGGAATTTTTCCTTAACCTAATTGGATAATTCGCGTGAGGAATTTTTTCTCAATACAATGTCAAGAGAAGTAATTTTTTTAAATAAAATATTGCAGCAGCTGGATTTGGGGATGGTTTAGTTGGTCTGGATCGTCTTCGACTATGCTACGTGCTGCGGAGAAGAAGATTCTGTCGTGTAAGCAAGATAAATATTACTAATTAAACTTAGATTGAGATCGAAATTTACATTTATGCATTGATCCAAATATTAGGCTTGAAAACGGCATATCGCGGATGGTTCGTCGATATTGGACCGGTTGTGGGACCGGCAGATAAAATATGGACCATTTCATTGAACGAAGAATCGCCGAAAGTCCCAATCGTTTTACTACATGGCTTAGGAGCTGGAGTAGCATTATGGTGCTTGAATTTGGATGCACTTGCATCCCAAAGACCAGTATACGCCATAGATATATTAGGTAAGAAATAAAAAGAATCAAGATTCTTTACCGTTTAATTATCTGCGATTTTATCTAATTTGTATATTATTATTATTAATAATATAATAAATATGCAATAAAAACAAAATGGCAAAAACACAAAGATCTTAATCATTATATTAAATTCTTTTTCTTTTTGTTATTATTTTATCTAATAGTTAAGTTCTCTCCGCTTTTGTCATTATTTTATCATCCATTATAATTGACAAATACATGACTCATCTACATGACTGATCAAATCAACTGAACTTTGTAGTTACATATAAACCTGTTATATGGATTATTAGTTTTTTATAACAAGATGCAAAATATTTAAATATTTATAAATACACTCGAAATATATTCAAAAATATTTCCTGTCAGTCTGTATCTCAGAATTGTATGTTTATAACATAGCTATATTTGACTTCTTGATTTTTAGGATTTGGCAGAAGTAGCAGACCTGTTTTTAGTAATGAAGCGCAAAAAGCTGAGGAGCAGCTAGTAAGTTCTGTGGAGGAATGGAGAAGAGAAATGCAGCTGGAGAATTTTGTATTGTTGGGTCACTCAATGGGTGGCTTTCTTGCGGCATCTTATGCTATGCAATATCCTGAAAGAGTGAAACATCTTATACTGGCTGATCCATGGGGCTTTCCTGAGAAGCCATCCGATACTATGAAAACACATATACCATTTTGGGTTAAAGCCATAGCGTTTGCAGTACAGCCTTTGAATCCTCTATGGGCAGTTAGAGTTGCTGGACCATTTGGTTAGTATTAGATATCATAAACGCAGTAATACGCAGTAATTATTATTTTTTCATATTGTTAAACAAAAATATTTACTACAGGACAGTGGCTCATTGAAAAAACAAGACCTGATATTGTAAAGAAGTTTACTCCCCTACTGAAGGACGACACTGCTATAATTTCGCAATATATACATCAATGCAACGCACAGACCCCTTCGTAAATTGAAAATTAAACATTTTAATGCAATTTAAAAATCTTAAACATGTATAATTATATTTGATTCATTGTATTCGATTTATAGAGGTGAGAGCGCGTTTCATGCAATGATGCATGGTTTCGGATGGGCAAAAAATCCAATTGTTAAACGAATGGATAAGCTAAACGATAATATACCTATAACGTTACTTTATGGGAGTAGATCATGGGTTGATAATTCAGCTGGTGAAACAATTAAACAGTACCGGTCTTCATCGTACGTTAATGTTCAGGTAAGAAAACAATTAAATCAGTAAGTGCTCTATAAAATAAATTAACTTACAATTGTCTATACAAAATAAATTATTATATAGGTAATTACTGGAGCTGGTCATCACGTATATGCAGATAAAAGTGAAACCTTCAACAAATATGTATCGGAAGCATGTGCCTTAAGTGACTCGATATCTCATTTAACATCGTCAAATGTACGTCCTTATAAACCTATAAGCGATCAAGAGATAGATGTAAATTTACCCAAAGAAGCACTTGAAGAACAAAGATCAGAAGAAAAAAATCTGAATACAGAATCAAAAATTTAATTAAAGTGTGGAATATTCTCGTTAAAAAGGACATTCCAGTTCTATTAGCTGGTGCAAAGAAATATATATAGTAAGCACATATTGTGATGTAAGAATGTCGCGAGATACGTTTGACATACGAATGTATACATGTGTTGTATGACACATGAGCTTTACATAATTTATAAATATAATAACGTAAAGAAGAGCATGTAAATTGACAGACATTGGTTACGTGTTAATCGATTGACTGTAGATATTAAAAGATATCGCGAAATCATTAATATAATGCTTTATTTTCAATTTTGAAAATTATGACAATGTATTACTGCAAATGCGCGGAAACTAGAGGAGTAGTGAGATCTTGCCGTAAGTAAGATTTATATTATTTTTATTTGTGTCGATTAGATGTGCAATTGGTTAAATATATTATATAGCACGTTATAAGATTTACACGAGTCAAAAGAGATCAAAAGTACGAGGTAATGGAAGTTGTACATTATGTACAGTCTTTACTAACACAGGCCATAGTAGCATCTAGTGAACAGTGAGCATTCTTGTTATTAATTGTGTTATCTTACAGCTGTAGAAAGATTTTATGTATATTGTACAATACGATTTATTATTAATAAATTATTTATTGTACACACATGTACAGAAAGTTAAACATTAGTATTATATTGAATATTTATACTGAATAAAAATTGTTCTAAAATATCGTTTTTGAAATCATTTTCGCATGTCATTCTGGAAATCATCGTCATCGTTATAGTCATCATAGAAGTTCTCGTCGTCGACGTTCTCGTTGTTGACATCAATATCATCCTCATAATCAGATTCTTCATTATTTATCGCTTCTAAGTCACACTTATTTAATAGTTTTTTCTGATTATTTAATCGGTTCATGCGTCGTGTTTCCCTTCGTCTTTTAATTAGGAAATCAGAGAAAATCTTTCGTTGCTCTTCCTGGGTCAGGATCTCAACTTCTTTTGAGACCGGATCGCTTTTGTCTGTATCAGTATTCATATTCCATATTCGTCTTTGCTCAGCTTTCTTTGACTTGGACACTGCACTAGTAATCTGTAATAATTAAAATACATATATTTCACGCATTTATCTTTTATCAATAAAAACATAAGATAGATTATGTTACCCGAGACATGATTAAATGATGATTCAATCCTAATACATCGTGTCTCATTATTGGCAATTGGATGTAAAATTCATCTGTCTTGGAATCATCATTTACAACTGGTTTTTTTTTGTACGAAATCTGATCGACACTATTAACATCGAATATATCCGATTCCATTTGTTCAGACAAAATTTCATTGGTTTCTTCGAAATTTATCATCGCTAATCTCTTTTCAACCTCCTTCTCTCTAATATAGTGCTTGTCTTCAACAAACTGAATAGGCGGCACTATGCCTATGATACGGAGCTGTGATAGCTCGTGCCGAATAATTCTAGCGCAATTCTGCAATGCTTCCTGATTAACTGAGGAATTGCTACTAGGTATATAGAACACATTGACATATTTAAAATCTCGCGTAATTTTGACATGAGTAATCTCTATGTTTTCTTTTATAATGTCAAACACTTGTCCCATCGACATCATATCTGTTATATGCTGCATGAAAAGTTTATCACGAATTATCATTCTGCGCTGGACATGTATGGAAGGTGAAATTTTATCGGTTAAATTGATGTTCATGGCACTGCGTAATTCTGTCTTGGTTTCGTACCACTTTCTGTAACGTAAAAATAAAGAAAGTTGTATTTAATAGAGTTTTAAAAGAAACGTTCACTCTTTTTTAATTTATATATGAAGCAATCTGCCTTACCTTTTCGATTTATGACTTCCATTTATTATTTTTTTTATAAATCTACTTTCTCTATTTAAATTTGAACACATACTAGATGAACTAATACATCTAGATATTTGGAAGCAAATAATAAAAGGACGTGCACTTTGCATTTTAATTATCACTACATTTAGTCGACTTAGCACGGTTTAGTTCCAACAATTATACAACAGTAACAGCTGATTTAACAGATCTGCTCGTTCTGGCTACACTTTCTTGCACTTTTACGTTTAAAGTAAAATGGCTGTAATGCTTGCGAGTATCGTTTTGCCCTTGTTCAATATTTGGTAAACAAGGATGAAATAATTTCACGAATGTGTAAGCGTTAAATAGAACGCATTGTCGATCTTTAATAAAAAAAAGAAAGATAAAAGTGCAATGGATGCAATTCAAATAAACTTGCAGAAATAATATAATTTTTTGAGTTTTTCAGAACATTATTTATTATCAATGAATCTGTGTAATAAAAAGATTATGAAAATCGCAAATTTAAATTCTCAAAAATGGAAAAAGAATATAATCAATTAAAAAGCGTCACTAACTGTGAAAAAATGATAAAATTCTGATTATCTCTAAAAATTTCTAAAATTATAAAGCAAAGAATATTATATTGTCACATTTCAATTATACTTTCTATTAATTTTCCTATGTATTATACAACTACATAACACTAAGCAATTTTATTCTGATAAGATTTTTTAAGTATTCTGATTATTATTAAGAAATATCTTTGTGTATATCTGCATAGAATATAAAAACATAAAACAGAAGACCGAAGTGTTTTTATAAAAATACTTAATTATACAATACTTAATCATACAATGCATACAACGACGTATTTTATTATATATATATATATGACTAATGCAAATTAATAAAACGGTGAAATAAAAAAATGTTTTAAAGGTGTCTTTTTAGAAAAACAAAACTTAAATTTTTGGACATCAAAAGGATTTATGCCAATATTCATAGTCAAGTCTTATATTCAATAGTCTTAAATGTTCTGTATTAATTAAAGGTAGCTGTATTAGCATTTTAAGCTATTACTTAAGACGATCTTGAAATATAACTATGAATACTGGCCTTAGAGAGCAAAACTTCATTAACATTTAGTGTACAAATTGTCGACTGATTATACAATAACATACATTCTTCTTAGAATATATTTAAGATAAGGCGAGAAACACACTTTTGCATAACGCATAAAGCATATGCATAAGGAATTTCATTGGCCCATTTTCTTATGCATGAGTCAATGGACCAATCAAATTCTTTATGTATATGGTTTATGCGTTATGCAAAAGTCTGTGCTCCCCGCTTAAGAATAAAAATATTAGTATCCATCTTGCATGAAATGCAAGATGAATTTAATACATCCTTCTTTTCGTTGTTATTACTGAAACAGAAAATGTATATATATATTATAGATCAGACAAATTAAATGGTTAAATTAGAAAGTGTTATAAAAAATGTATAAAAGACATTACAATTATAACTTACCTTCTCTTTCTTGTATAATTTCGTTTCTTCTGTTTTTAAGTTCAGTAGGCAAATTGTCAATCATACTTTCAATAAAATTATCTAAAACTAATGATCTAATCATTGATACCACTGGTTTCCTACAGACAGGGCAACTTTTTTGTTTCTTATTCCATAAATTTATGCAATGTTGACAAAATGTATGTGTACATTTCAATGTTGTTGCTTTAATAAATAATTCCGAACATATAGAACATGTCAATTGTTCATCCATAATGTTGCTCACTTTTCCAAGGATGCTTTGATTAATATTAGTCTCTAGCATATTTTGACTTATTTCAGTTAGATCTATCGTGTCTATTATTTCATATTGCGGAACCTCAATTTGATCACCGTTGAAGTTTAAAAATATACACTCTGATGTACTTGCAATACTTTCGTTAGATGTATTTACTGAAAAAAATTAATAATTTAGTAATGTATAATAAACAATTGTTACAAAGTTTTAATTAAAAATACATTATTAAAAACAACATTATATAAATATAGAACAATCAATGTGCATTTGTATAAAATTTATTACTTACCACCCAATATTGTTTGCGAAATTTCTGTTTTTGCTTCTTGTTCCTTTAAGGCTTTCTCTGTTTCTTTCAATTTTTCTTCTAACATGGTCTTCTCATTCACATGGCTTTTCAATTTTTCTTCTAACACAGTTTTTTCATTCATTAATCGGGCCTGAATATTTTTCTCTTCCTTTACTTTATTTTCCATCATATTTTTCCATTCTGCTTGTTGTTCTTCTCTCCATTTCTTCATTTGATCTTTCATTTTTATTTCTAACATTTCTTTTTCTTGCTTACTCATATCTAATGCTTCTTGCCATTTCTGTTTTTCCTCGTTTAGTCTTGCTTCAAACTGCAGCCTTTCATTCTCCAACTTTTGCAATAACTGAGAATACATATTTTTCAGATCTTCTTCTTGAGAATTACATGCCTTTATTTTTTCTTCTAATGCTGTAATTTGTTTTAATAGATTCTCTTTATCATCTTTAGCCATAGCTTGTTGAGACAACAGATTTTCAAGTTGCTGATTTAACTTGATTTGCTCTTTTTGATTTATTTCAAGCATATTTTTTAGCTCTTTTCTTTGACATTCTTGATTTTCGGCAAATGTTCTCTGCTTGACAAGTACAGTGTCGAGTATCTTCTCATCTATACGTGCTTTCTTAACGCAATGTTCTTTCTCCGCAAGAGTAAATACATATTTAAATGTTTCATTAGGACTAAATTGTATAATATCACCAGAACAAACATTTTGTACTTCACCAGAGCCAATGGCATTACCATTAACAAATGTTCCACTAGAGCTTAAATCCTTAAGCATCCATTCATCTTGGCCTATACATCTAAAAATGCAGTGTCTTCTAGATATCATGACATCTAATATAATTTCGTCGTTATCTCTGGCACGTCCAATCTTAAACTGTATAAAAGGAAAAAATAATATACCTTACATGTTCAAAAAATTTGGTAACAAGTCTTCAAACGACATTATAAAGTATCCTTGATATGCATTAAATACATGATTTATTATACATTTATCAGATAGAATTCTTCGAATGTGTCGACATATTCCTTACCTCATTTTTGTCGATATTTATGCGATCGTTCGTGTCCGTATTTATTAAAACAGGTTCAAGAACTTTTGGTTCCTCATCAGAGGCTCTCTTTAAATGCTCCATAATTTAGTAGTTTCACAAATATCTTAATTATGTCTTAAACATCATAATCAATACTAAGAACGACATAACAAAATTTGCTTTTTCCTGTAATAGGCGAGAATGAAGAGATGTCGATTCAAAACGCTATCACGTAACTTTGTAGTTTTTTTTTGTAGGATGTAATCTTAACAATTCTTGCTGACAAAATTTCTCGAATTTAATTTTATCGAGAAAGAACGATCCGTTGTAACGACAACAATTCATTCGAACACGGCAAAAGCAACTGCATGCAGTATCGATGTATACAAACTTGTAAAGATGCGAGTCAACCAGTCAACGTAAAGCGTCGACAGCTGAGTCATCTGGCGAAAAGAAGCGAAATTTGTAAAAAATTGAATGCGTTTTTTGATCACACTGCTTCTGTAACTAGACTGTCAATCTGTCTTTTGTTAATTTTCTGTAACTAATAGATTATTGTGACATGATAAAAATTAGGAAGAGCTGAACTGAGCTGAACTTAATTCCGGCTGTCCTTGTTTAATTCATATGTGCGTACACATGTGTGTAGGTACATACATATATGTGTTCTGAGTATTGTGCGAATTTACATATATGACGCTGTTTTCAAATCTCTCAAACATAGAGAGGCGAGTTTATTTACAGAAGTCTATGATTACGGTCTGCATTGAATAAGAAAGGTAAATAGTAAAACTCAATTTTAAAAAGATATAAAATAGTTTATGCGTTTTTATTATTAAATTATACATTAAAAAAATATATTCACCATTTATCCATTTATCCTTATTTAATTGTCCACTACTTTGATAATTCTGTTTTTCATATTATATATATACCCAGATATCAAAATGCTAGCAGTATGCCAGCAAACTTGATCATGATGTTACAGCAGATATCAAGCTGCTGCTTCCTCATTAAGTTTAGTTTCTAACAGCTTATCCTGTCAACTTAACACAACGATAGAAATACAACAAAAATCAATCATTATTTGCTATCACATCGTAACAGTGAAAACGCGATAAAACTACAGTGCATGCTTTTGGCAGGTTTGGCTATCTGGATATATGTGTATATGTCAAATATATTATTTGCTAAAACGTTAACATGATATGCAAGATTGTAAAAAGATAGTAAAAAGTTAATTTAAATTAATAAATTTCGCTAATTTTTTGCAATGCAAATTAAATGATTAAAACAGTCTCAAAATTTCGACCTTTTAGTTTGGTTAATTTATATATTAAATAATTTCGAAATTTTCGAGATTTTTGTAAATAATATTAAGATGTAGAATTATTATTGTAAAATCTATTTAGCTCGATTTAGACCGTTTTAATCATTTAATTAATTTAAATTATCATTATCTATTGTATGAATTATAACAGGATAGTCACGTTTTTTCGTTTTTTCATATTTTTTCAAAGGTTTACTTTCACAATCAGAGTTTTTAGTATCACTAGTAAAATCTACAAATCTTCTATTTTCTCTCTGTTTGTTTGCAGAGTCGACTACTGGCTTCTCTATCACCTCTGTTGAATTTCCTTGCTCTACAAGTTCAGATTTGAGAATATTCTCTGGTACAAACTCATGAGGTGTAAGTGAATCACCACAGATCTTTTCAAAATTTACATCACCAGAAAATGTGCAATTTTTAATAGATTCAAGAAGTATTTTATTACCATATTTATCTTGCATTTCCAGTTGATCTTTTATAGCTCTGTTTTGAGCCTAGAATGTATAAAAGGGATTTTACATTAAAAAAATCTTAAACAGCTAGATATAATTTCTTTTTTGTAGAAACTTACTTCCAAAAACTTTGCTTTAGATTGCCAGTAACGAAGCTGTCTTGAGATGTTATTGTTTACTTCGTCTTGCATCAGCATTTGCATAGTTTGCTTCTCAATTCTTTCATTCAACTCCTTGAGCTCTTTCTTTTTAGCGGTTAATAATAATTGAGCGTAACTGAAAGTTAAATTTATAACTTACTAATTACATAAACCTTACATTAAGCTCCCCAGATTAGCTCAAACAGAAATGCGTTTTTAACTTACTTAAAGTTATTTGTAGATTGTGTTTCTTCCACTTCATCATTTTTCCTCATTTCAGCCTTCAACTTACTCTCAAGATCAAAAATTCTATTCTTATACTTATCCAAAAGATCTGCATTCTCTTGCAATGTATCAATTATATCAGTTTCCCATTTCTTGGAAATGGCGATTTTCTCTGCCCTCAGAAACTTGATTTCACTTGTTTTTAAATCCAGTGCTTGCTTTGCTTCGTTGTATTTAGTCGAAAGTACTTTCATTTTATCCAGTAACATTTGTCGACGATCTTCGACTTCGGCAAATAAGGAATTCCCTAAAAAAACATGAATATTGAAAAATCTATATACAATATATACATTTCAATTATCATTACCTTTGCACATATCACTAGCAGGAATTATATTTGATGACTCCAGTTCTTCAAGTTTTATGGCTAATTCTTTAGCAGTTTCCCGTGCGTTTTCCAATTCTTTATTTTTTTCCACCAGGTCCTTTGTGGTTTTCTATTAAAATATTTCCAATTTTAGTCTCATGTATTACAATCTATAAACATTGATCTCATAACTTATTAATTTACTTTTAAGTCAAGTTGAAGTTCTTTACATTGAACCTCTGTGTGTGCAAGTTTATCCATTAATGCCATTTCATTTTTTTCTTTTTCAAGAAACTTCTTTTTTTCATTTTTAAGCAGCATATGTACTTCCCTAAGTTCCTCTTTATATACTGTTAAATTATCTGCCTTTGTATTATGTAGTTGGTTATTTACTAAATCTTTATATTTTTTTAGCTCTTCCTGTAATTCTTTAATTTTTAATTCACTTGATGCTTGATTTGTTTCTAAATTTATAATATGATTTTCATATTCTTGTTGCTTAGCTTTATACCTATGAATAAATAAGATATATAAAGCTTTGTAAATTTGTAATATATTATATTGTACATATAATAAACAATAAATCTCATTATTAGAGCTAATATAACTAATATGTATCAAATATTAAAAATTTGTCTTTTTGTTTAATCTCCTTGGGAGATCCCGGTATTACTGACAGATACAAAATATGTTTATAAATATTTTTAAGTAGTGACACCATTTACTTATTGGATAAACACTAGCTATGAGTTATTAAGATTTTAATAGCATATTGTGATTGGACAAATAGTTGAGATTATATTATAATGTCACCTAAACAATTTAAATTTTGAAGAATTGTTATAATTATTTTAATAAAACATAACATTTCTCATGCATTCATATTATTTATTCTTCCAAAAGATAATTGTCAGTATTAATAATTTAAGATATTTGTATTTTTCAGATACACTGCGACCTTTAGTATTAAATTTAGAACTACAACTTGTACTGAGAATTAATATATCAAAATATGGTAATGAAGAATTGATGTTAAAAATGATGTTTTAAATGTCAAAAGTAAAAACTCCAACAGCAACTCACTTTACATGTATAATTAATTTTTACGGAAAAGAATTTATAATCCTTACTTTTCTTTTTCCTCAGCAGATGATACGGTTGTTTGTCGTACGTATTCTTTAAGATTATTTTCCAAAATCTCTTCAGAATCCTGAAGATCTCTTATAAACGCGTCAGAAGTTTCCAATTTGAGTCGCAGAACATGCAACTCCTGCCGAAAATTCTCATTCTCCTGCTTTATCTTTTTATAATCATCTTGACTGACTATGCTTTCTTCTAGATGTTCCTCGATCTTTGTGCCATTCACACTCTCGCCGTACAATTCTGACATTTCGAAACTTTTGCCAAATTACTTTTTGTTCCTTGATGTCACTTGGTTTCTTCTGGAGTGCTACTCTGTAACTGCTTTTATACGCCTACTGACAGTTATTAGTGTCGTTGCGCAGCTTTTTTGCCATATAAAATGTCTGCGCAACGAGACCGATAACTGTCGGTATAGGCCAAACGTGTAAAAGCAGTTACAGAATAGTACCCCTACTGGAGCAGAGAATAACAATCGATCGTTACTCTCTAATTTCAGAGAAACAATGTTAACAATGTTAGCTCTATATATATGATATGACCAGATATGATTATTTAAATTTTGGTAAGGTTAGCGCAAATATTTTGAATTTCGGTTAGCTCCGTTAGATCATAGATATTTAGAGAGATAGATTCGGCATTGCATACTGTAGAAACGAACAGAATAGAGAAAGATGAGGTAGAAAAAAAGTTAAAGTGGAAAAGAAAGATAAATGATTGGTTACGCCATTTTGGCTGAAATGCGCGATTGGTTGTTAACATTAATAATTACGCTGTTATTAGACAATATTAAAATAAATGTGTTGCTGGCTTAATTCTACGTAGGTTGTATTACCGACGATCGATATTATTAAAAAACGGCTGGTTCTGAATTTCGTGATGACTCATAGGGTCCCGAAAGTCCGGGGAAGAGCGATGGCATTATCGATAATTGATACAAATTTGCAATTTTATTTTTTTACGTTTTAAAAATATTTAGGAAATACATTATTAAATTTATGATCTTTTTTTGTGTGCAGTAAAAATGCAGCATAGATAAGTTGGTATAATTTAATGCTGTAATATGCAGCATAGATAAGTTGGTTTTTTTTAATGCTATAATATCATATATTGTAACAAAATATAATTTTTTTTTTCTACAATTTTAATTAATCTCTATTTGATAATTTTTCTCGGATAATAACATTAAAATCACAATTTTTTAAAAAATCGAATATTATTGAGTTTAAACACGCACGCACGCACGCACACATGTATATGTATACATGTCTACAAAACTAACAAATTACAAAGTTAATATTTATATCATGAGTTTCCTCTAAGAGTTTAGACACGATTAAGTTGCGTTTTGTATGCAGGCTGCAGGGTCTCTAGTTTTTACAAAGGCTACGTTCGGTTTGGACGCTTTTAACGTTTCTATCCTTGTTTATAACTAATGAATAATAAAGACAGAATGATTGTTATAAGCGTTTAAAGCGCGTGAGTGTTCAAACCGAACATAGCCTAAATCACCCGAGAGAAGAATATATATTCACTATTTTTTTCTCTTTCTATTCTATCTGTTTATCTCTTTCTCTCTCTTTCTTTCTCTCAGGAGTTGTTGAAACTCCTGAAAGAAAATGGCGGACCAATCAGAAATGATCGTTTCGTGTCTGGACTCTTTGGGGACTGTCTAGTAACTTTGACTATAGTCAAAGCTGGTTCGATATCTCGAAAATCGCAGTTCGATATATTTTGAATGACCGTAGTTGGTCGCGAAATTTAAGTCTTATTTGAATTGAATGAAAGTGAATCTTGTTCGAACAAAGTTAACACGAATAACTTTCAAAACTGTTGAATAGTTAAAGCAACGCTATTATACATCGATACTGCGTGATCAACGATTCACTTCCGTATTTAAAAGAGCGGCCACAGACATATCTAAAAATTTCTAGAATTTGTCTTAAAAATTCAATTTGACACATTTATTAAATAATATAGAACAAATATGTAACAGCAAAGTTTTTACTTAAAATGTTTTAAAATCTGTGCTATAAAAGCTATTAAAACGTATAAGTGCCAAACATGTCGAGTTTCAAAAATTCTTTGTAAAATAATACAGTTAAACTTTTATTAACAATGATCAACGGCGATTAACTTATCACAAAAGTAATAATATATTATATTTTTAATTTATTGAGCCGTAATATCTACATTATTTAATAATATATTATTTCTTTAGTGGAAAGAATCAATGAATGTCTTGTTGTTCGACGTAGAAGAAAATAATCAGATCAGAGAGACAACGGATCATATGTTTAGAAGCTTTGCTTTAAAAGTAATTCTGCAGATTGAGAACTAATCATCAACTAAAGTAATCGAGATTACTTTTAGAGGAAACTGCAGTTGACGGAAAAGCAAGGTGAAGCAGCATTGGGTATTCGTCTAGGCGTATTTCTCTTCCCCCTCCAGTCGCCGACGCGTCAAAAGCCCCTGCGAGTCCCTTTGCCGTCCGGCGCATCGCCCCCACCAGCTTACTTCAGAGTTCGGAGCCACTGGCTCGCCACAAGGAGCAACAGGCTGACGCCACTCGCCTTGGCTTGGGTTAGCTCGGGGCGAGATCCGACACCGCGCAGCGAGACAGAGAGAGAGAGAGAGAGAGATAGATACCGCTTTTTCCCGTCCGTCCGGAGGCTCGCAGCGGAGCGCAGAGTTGCCAAAGCTGCGGCATCATTAACGCGACGCAGGTTGTTGCCAGATCGCCGAGCGCCAGGCCGAGCCGAGCCGAGTCGACTGGAGTCGACGTAACACGCGCAGCGCGACGAGGTATCGGAGTCATTCTCGTCGGGTCGGAGCGCAGGCAGTTCTCGCACGGAGACCGCGGGAAGGTGTGCGTGCGCGCGCGGGTGTGTGTGTGGGTGCGTGTGCGTGTGTGGAGGCCGAGTCGAGAGGAGAACAAGCCCGTGCCGTGTGCGTCTTCTCCTCCTTTCCTCACGCTCTCCCCCGCATGCCGCGTCGCGTCGGGTCGCGGCTCGTGATCGCGACTTCCTCCAAGTGCTGTTGCCGCTGCCGCTGGTGCTCCTCTTGATGCTCGACGACCCTCGGCCGTCGCGCTTCCGCGGTGCCATAAATCCCGTTTTGCGTATCATGTTCCTCGTCGTCGCCGTCGCCGCCGACGTCGTCGTTATACATCGTAGTGCGGCGTATCGTGAAGCGTGAGAGTGGAGGCGAATTCGTCGCGAATGTGGTGCATCGCGCCGTTCCAAAAGGATCTCCAAGGGATACTTTTGTCGCCACTTGAACGACAACACAGTCGAGTTTACGACGTGTCGTCGTGCGTTATCATTGAATTGCTAGATGTTGTGCTATAGACGAGCGCGCTAGGTGGGATCTCTGGAAGATTCAGAGAGCGCCCCCTCCCTCTCGCTCTTTCTCTTACTCTTTTTTTCTCAGGTCTCGTTTCCTGTGCTCTCGCACTCGTCACGTGTCCACGCAGGTAGGGCGAGCCGTTGCGTCGGAGAGGTGGAACCGACGAGAAGAACGACTCTCGCAGTCTCAAACGGTGTGGCCCACCAGTAACATACACGGAGATTGACACGGTGATCGAGGAAGCGGCCTGCTGCGGAGCGCGCGCAGGGTGGAGATTGTCAGGGTGGAGGGCAGTGAGGGACTGTCCGAGACTATCCCCATCGGTATCGCGGGGAACGCTGCTGGTGGCCAACAGCGGCGACGGTGACGGTGACAGTGGTGGTGGTGACGGCGACGGCGACGACGACGGCGACGACGACGACGACGGCGTTGTCATCCGGCGTTCTATCGCCGGGCAGGTGGAAGAGGAAGCAGTGATTTCTTTTCGTAGGAATGAAACGGTCGTAGGGAAAGAAAGGGAGACGGTTGTCTCCGGGTGCGGGTGATACACGCGTATAGGTAACGCGCGCGCGCTGCTACCGTGAAAAAGGTGCGCGATCCTTCTTCGCTCCGCGCGGAGCTAAGTCGGAGCACGGAAGCGGCGAACAGATAGGCGCAGAAAAGAGCGACGAGGACGCGCGGCCGCCGCGACGAAGAGGCCGGGAAAGGAGAGACGAGGAGGAGATACACAAGCGAGAAGAGTGAGCAACAGGCAGAGAGGAAAGAGAGCGAGCGTGTGATCCAAAATGGCGCTGAATCAAGACGTGGTGGAGCAGTTGTCCAAGAGTAATCCCGTCGTCAGGGTCGACCAGAATTCCGAGTCCGATCTCCAGGCACTCTTCGACACCGTCCTGAAGCCCGACTCGAAGCGGCCGCTGCAGGTGCCGCTGCGCATGCGCAATTTGCCGGATTCCTTCTTCAATCCACCGTCCACCGGCAGCAAGAGCCCCTCGATCTCGCACTCGCGCGAGAACTCCGCGGATTCCGCGTTCGGTGCCGCCGTCCCTGCGACCCCGAACGGCGGCAGCGTGCCTAACGGTGGCACGAACGGCGGCAGCGGCGCCGGCGGTGGAAAACGGCACCGCGAACGCGATCGCCGCGGCCGCCGCGGTGGCCGCCGCGGCCGGTCTCACCGTTTCTCATCCCCGCGCCCACAGCAGCCCGGCCTCCCTCCAGCAGACGTACGCGTCGGCACAGCAAGCGCCGCAACACGCGCCGCAGCCGCACGCGCGTCACCATCATCATCAGAAGCAGCGCAGCTACGACGTCATCAGCACGGTCGACGACCTGGGCCCGCTGCCGCACGGATGGGAGCAGGCGCGCACCCCCGAGGGCCAGATCTACTTCCTCAAGTAAGTCTGCACTCTCCAAACGCACCGCGTCTTCTTCGTTATGCGACTCCCGCGAGATACGAATCGCTTCTTTCCCGAAGATGCATTTCCCTCTACGTATGATATATCTCATTGCATATCTCTCTCTCTCTCTCTCTTTTCCTTCGAACTCTTGTATTACACTCTTTAAGTCATACTTATTATATCAGTGATGCAACTGGACTTGCTATCTTAGTTTTTTGTACCGTAAACTTTGATGAAAGTAATGTCCTCGAAACTGTCCAGGTTTATCTTTTAACAATAGATTCTTTCTCCTCCAATTTAAGTATCTATCAGGTACGCGAACAGGTATAGAATCCTCTTGTTTTTTTGAGATTAGGAAAGTTGTGATCCATTAGACGTTGGATATATTTTATGTTATTTTACGATAATTTATCGCCACCGATAATAATACCTTTTGTCGAAGCCTCACGTATCCCAACGCTGGAACCGTCTTTATCGTCATGCCGGCTTACTCATCCTCTCTCTCTGTCCCTCTTTGCTCGTTACTCCAAGACCCCTGCCGCTTCTCGCTCGCGGAGGGGAAAAGAAAGACCTCGGTCTCTCCGTTAAGCCCCTCTTCGTTGCTGCCAACGTCCCTTGCCCTGAACCCAGGGACGTCATAGCACTCGATCACGCAGTATACATAGCCGGCGTGAATGCGCTAATTAGCATATTCAGGTAAATGGATGTCATTATTAATGCAGGAATTTTAAGAATTTTGGAAAAAAAATGGTATAAGCAAACAGCTTCGTATACCTATATTAAAATTTGTCCTGTACGGAAAGAACGGTTTTGCTGAATAATCGAAATATTTAACTACATAGATGCGGATTTGAGGATAATTGGAGGAACTATCAAAAGTACAATGTATGACGCTCAAGCTGGTTGCTAGAATATCAAATTGTTTGCAGCGTTGTTCATTATATCTTGAGTTTACTACATATTTATTTTGATGATCCAACAAAATTGTTTTTTTTTTCATGTATAGTTTCTATTGAACAGATGAATGGAAATCAATTTCGAGAACGGTAACTTGTGATAAAGTAGACAACACTTTTGATCTCTTTCTTTTTCTTTGATTAAAATTTGTAATTGATTTTAACAAAAATGTATTATTTATTATTTGTATAACTTCAAATTCTTATATTTTTTAATATCGCAAGTCGTTTGTGATATTAAAATTAAAATTTTTGTAACGCAAAATTATTCTGAAATTAACTGAAAAATTAGAAAATTCTATCATCAAAATAAAAAGACTCTACCGAATAGATATATTTGAAATTCTCACGAATAGTTCTTTTGCAACTAGTTATTTCGCCCCTAAAAACTACTGAAGATTCTGTTTTTTTTTTTTTTCCCAAAAAAAGTGAATTTATCAAAAAATCTGCCTTGAAAGTAATATTACGGGTTGTAGGATTGTCTGCATCACGTCTCTCTGCAGACGATGATCATCATTACCAGGCTCTGCAGGGCCCGAGAAAGGGACCCTTTAGGTGCGCCTCTGTGGTATAGTCTCTCGAATGCCTCTGGTGGTATGCCTGGGCCTCCCACCATGCATCTCTGCATCCCAACCTGATCCACCTGTACAACCGTGACTGCCGGGTCCTCACGTGTCACCTGTCGTGAGAACCATCGTGTACCTCGCTTCGTCCCTTCCCTATTTCAATAATCCCCCTTGCCTACTCTAATACACGGTCGACACGCTGTTTAAAATCTTGAAATTATCTTCATAGGCATCACATTCATCTCTGAAATTGGCAAAATCCTACGAAATACGTTTCTATTTTGGATTGTCTAGACTAGATACGTCTTTTTATAGACTAGATTCATCTGTCGGCTATATTAAATATTCTTAAATAAAAATTTAGATGATAAAATACATTTACATGTAGATTCATAGATTTACATACATAAATTGCGTATTTGCATATCTCTCTTCATCCTTTTATTATAATTATATTTTTTTTTAAATATTAATGTCACAAGACTTGTATTAAGTGAATGAATAAATAATTATCTTCGCATATTTGCAGTTTGATATTTTAATTGTAATTTTGATACCATATATAAATGAAAAATTATGTGTTTCTGAATATTCTGGTACTTTTGATTAAGAAAACGGGATTGATTTCAAATTCATCAAAAAATGCATCATTAAAGTTATAAAAGCGTAAAAGCGCTTATTATTGATCCGTTAGTTTAACTTATAATTTACGAGACTAAATGACGATTTAAAATTTGGAAGAATAACTTTATTAATAAACTAATATATGTTATGTGGCTTAGATTACAAAATCAAAACAAAACAAACGACTCACAAATAAAATAAAATATACAAGGTCTATCAATTGCTGCCTTTAACAGAGGATTCTAATCATGTTATCACAGCATCTGGAAATTCTGTGCAAACAAGGAAATAGAACGTTCACAATATATAAGAAGATCCATTAAATTGACAAATGTTAGAAGCACTTGACTTTAGAAAAACGGTTTTAAACAATACAAAAGGATTGCCAATTTCGATCGACGAAAGGAACAAGCACGTAATAACATTTTATTAGAAAAAATGAGAGGACGGCGGATTGTGTAATTGAACTCTTGCGATAATTGTATGACTTTGGAATATTTTTAATTGAAATGATTTTTACTGATAATGGTCTAAAATAAACCGAAACGTCTAAACAAATTTAACGTTTATTTTGAATAAAGGACACTCGCTCATTATAACTAACGCTGTGGCTGTATGCTCTTTGTTTTGTTTTAACTTTATTTATCCTTTCATTTTTTTCGCAAAGTTTAAAGTATTTAAACTTTTGTATGTAATTTAGTTTTAAACGTTAGATTTTGAAATTTACCAAAAGTATTCTTGTATGCTGTTTTCTTCTCTTCTTAAATCTTGTCTGAAGACCACCAAGAAGATGAGCTCTCCTTTACCTGATCTGACCTGGTCATTCAGAAACCTTACTGGCCAACCATTTCATCTGTAAATGCAGCTCGTTTTCTACCTGATATTGAGAAATACCTACCTGACGAAGAAACGTGATTCTTTCTAAAGAATATATTTTAGAGTCTTTGCAAACATTTAATGCAGTCTAATGCAGTTTTCGTCAAAGAAAGAAAAAAAAGAGACATAGAATTTTCTTAAAGCAAAATCCAGTCATATAAGGCGGTCTATCTTTGATCCTTTTGTTATTTTTAATTTTGATCTTTTCTTACCCTCTTTTATTAATTTTTTTAAGTAGGACCAAAGTTTATACGAATTTCGTTACATACAGTATAGGTAATGTTATATTAGCGACATATTATTTCAGATTACGTTATGAACATCATAAAGCTTGATAATAGATAGATATCACCATTTATAGACAACTTATCGCCATTTATAGACAGCTTATCGTTGAGATATCAAGTAATTTAAGGGAAAACGAAATTAATGGATTGATTGTGCTCTAATTACGCTCTGAGTTTTTGCGTACATCTTTTTATCAACATTTGCTGATATATTATCGTATGAAAGATCAATGGGAAATGATCGAATGAATTAAATGTGCAGTGAATCATTTTAACGAAAACGCTCATTATTTGAAATACGTTAAAAACTTCTTTAATTTATTTATTTCGAGGACTTTTATTTAAAGGATGTGATCAAATTGACGAATCTCGTGACTATCATGTAAATTCGTAAAAATGTACCTCGTAAATTAGTATTAGGAAACGATTTATTGGAGAATAGATTATTAGAAAACGAATAATTTGCATAGAGGAAATGAGAAGGTTCGGCGTGCATTACGTTCAAGTTCTACCGCGTGTTACGCCACTAGTTTTTCCTGCACTAATTTACGCGTGAGTTTATACGGGAATTGAAAGTACCTTCCTCCCGTTCCCGCGTTCATTCCCAATACGGGAAATAGAACACAAAGGCACACGAAAGGAAGGAAGTGGCTTATCGCACTTTAATGGCAGACGATTAATTATTTATTTCATTATCGACAATCATCGCCGGTGTTTATATTTCACTCTTATCGGAAGCCATTAAGGCTCTTTACACTGTAATCACATGAAATTACGATGTCAGAAGAGTCGTGCGCATTTTTTTTGCAATGCACGTCAAAATTATCAATTCTTTTCGCATTTCATTACAAGTGTTATTGTTTCCTCACGACGAATCTGAAAACGCATGGAAAAGAACGTGAGCGCGCCTTCTTGCTACCTCCTTGTCCAAGTTCAGTTTTTCGAGTCTAACGCGCGCTCTATTGTCTACGGAACGTCGGCGAATTTTGCGGAAACAGAATGCAGAGCTCGTTTTTTTTTTTTCGGTAGGCGTAATACGAGGCGCAGCGAGCGTGAGCTCGTCGGTAATGCGCGATGCAAGGTGCAGCGAAGCGAGTTGCACGCTCGCTGCATTACGCGGTAATGACCATCGCGGGAAGACCGTCTCTTTTCGTTCTCTCTATAATACGGCAATATCTATCATGTAAATATCGACAATATTGTTTGAATATTGTATACTATATTTCGAAGTCTTATTATATTTCATATTCTTGGTACGTATGTGCTTATTTTTTCCCCTCTACGTACAACTTTTCCTTCTTTTCTCTGATCTCTTTTCAGTATATATTACACTTTTTGCTAATTTTAATTGATGCCTTATTTGTTTTTCTCGCGGTTCATATGCCTAATTATCTAAAGTTATTATCGTGATATTTGTACTTTCTATATTATAGTACTATAATTAACGTTACATCTATAGTAGTGATTCTAAATTCGTGGTTTTCAAGTTAATCGTTTTTCACCACTGTATAACATCGAAAAATGTGCGTACAGGAAAATAATGCACTGTAAATTTCATAAACCGAACAAAAATATGCATGCGTATATTCATATTTCTGCAGAAAGTATATCTACTTATAACAATGGGAAGGAACTTTATTATAACATTTTATTGCAGAATTACTATAAAACGTAAATACTTCTCCGCA